GCAGTGACGTTTTCGCCTGTCGTGCGGGACCCGCTCCCCCTAAGAGACAGAGAAAGAGAGAGAGAGAGAGAACAAAAAAAGAGAGAGAGAGAGAGAGAGCCGGAACCGCCATTTCGTCGCGGGCGCAGATTCTTCGCCGTGTGCGCCTTCGGACTGCTGTGGTTCTGCGACATGACGAACGAGGGCGGCCCCGCCCACGCCATGGGCACGTTGAGGGTAGTATACACCTGTCAATTTCTGCGACGGGTGGAGATTTCGGACAAGTTCGGAAATGAGGGAGTCACTATGTTACAAGGTGGTTGTCTGTGAAAAAGAGATGACGACGATCATCGAGTGTTTCGCCACCCACTCCATGACGAAATCCCGTTTGGTTGTTCTATGGCCTCGAACAAGATTGGTGGTACCCGTATGTTTCTGTATCGCAGAGTTGTTCTGAGGCGCACCACTTGCGGAGTGGGCAGGCTGGTATGGAGCAGTTCGCTTGAAGTCAAGCACCATGGATCTCATCTTCACAGCTGTCTATCTCCGCGTCGATCCCACCGTTCGAGCAGGGAGAGCTGGCCGTCGACAGGATGTACAGCGTACGATTGCATGGGCCATACAGCTAGCGCATAATGTGGGACACGGTGGACGCCAGTAGTTGTTTTTCATTTCAACGATGGGTTGGGTTGCTCGAGGGATATGATGTGGAAGGGGAAAGCTAGTTACACACAACACCTTTGACAACGAGATCGAGCACACAGCAGTGGGACCTTACGATGCAGACATAGGGGGACATGATGGGCAGATTTTGGAGACAGATCTTGGTCGATTCTCAAGCGTGCGCAATCAAGTCATGCTTTCCTTTGGAAATGACTTTTAGATGAGAGGAGCCTACATCTCGCATTGACTTTTTGTATGTTCCACAGTCATTGCGTGCTCATGTGGTGAGGTGCTTCATTCTGCCTTGTGTACGCCGTCGACTACAACCTACTGCGGCAAGACACGACAGAGAGCATCGACAGATGTTGTATAGAAGTAAGATTTGCTTTCCGCGCGCGGTTTGGCGAAACACGGTTGCCGGGGGGACTCCGACAGGGTAGTGAGACCATTCCGATTTGAAACGGCGTGCACGGAGGCGGCCGAGGCCGTCCACAACACGAGCACGTCTATACCCGAGGGCGAGTGGACGTATTTTATGCTCGAGGCCGACGTCGGGCGCAGGATGGCACTCGTCGGGAAGGCTGGCACCGAGAAAGGGGGAGGAGGGAGCCACTGCGAGAGGAGGTCCGCCGAGGGAGGGGAGGCCGCGGCGTTGGAGAGAACACCGCTCAGACGTGCGGAAGGAGCGGGAGGACTCCGTGCTGACGTTTCATCGGTGGTGGCGCAGAGGGCCGCGACGACCTTGAATGACGAGGATTACCTTCGGGTCCGGAGACTGCCCAAACATGCTCAACGACAACGGCGAGAACGGCAAGAGTCTCTTTTCTTGATTTAGCGAAGCATGGGAAGAACATGACCAGGACACCTTTCAGCGGCCCATCCGTCGCCTCTCAAAGGAAGGACGGGGGCCGAGGCACAGGAAGTAATATGCGATGAAAGCCGAGGAAAGCGAAACAAAGAGTATTTACGAATGGCTGCGCCGACCTGCTGGGAGTGGCGAGCCGGGCGCGTCCCCCTGTGATCTTGATTCTTGACGCCGCGAACGGTTTGATAGATAAGATAATCACGATTTTGCGGTGCAATGATTTTTTATGTATGATGGGAGATCCGGACCACGGAAAAGACAGTAGTCTGAGGAGGGAAAGGCACAGGTAGAGGAGGACGAGAGCAACAAGCAAGGAGGGAGGGTGAGGATGGCGAGGGCGAGGAGGGAGAGAAGGAGACAGAGGAGAAGGGCGACAAGCATGAGGGAGGTCGAGGAGGGCGAGGGTGTGAAGGAGGTGAGAGAGGGTGAGGATGGCGAGGGCGAGGAGGAGGTGGCGGCGGTGGAGGGGGGGTTCGGCCCCAGGAGGCGCGCTCTCCAAAGAAGAGCGCCTGTTTCACGATGTCATGAGCTATGTTATGATGGTCTTGGCATTTCAATTTACATATACCCAACAAGAAGATCACCGCATCACATGTAGAATACGGGTGTTGCTTCGTTCCTGTGCGCTCCTGTGGGCGGGTGGGAGGGGGGAAGCGTACTTGCGCAGGTCCCGCACGGTGTCCGCGCTTTTGGGGGGCATGTTTTCCTCCTCCTCCTCCTCTTCCTGTTCCTCTTTCTCTTCCTCGTATTCCTCTTAGTAAAACTCCTCCTCCTCCTCCTCCTCCTCCTCCTCCTCCTCCTCCTCCTCCTCCTCCTCATGGCCATCAGCAGCATCATCATTATCATCCTCATCCTCATCCTCATCTTCATCCTCATCCTCATCCTTCTCCTCGCTGCCGAATTGGGTTTGTAGTGAGGTTCCAATGGTCCCCCTTCAGTCTTGCTGGGGGCTTACTGATGGCCACTTGGAGCCGCATGTGTTGGAGGCTGTTTTGGACCTTCCTGGGGGCCTCGTGGGCTATCTTGGAGGCCTCGTGCGCCGTCCGAGGCTGTCCGAAGCCCTCGAGGGCAAGACCGTCGAAATGTTTGAAAACTTAGAGTGCATCAATGATTTGCGCCCCGTGGCGCCCTTTTTGGAGACTTCTTGCAGGCCTTTTCGGGCTCTTGGATGTTTCTTGAACCTATATTAGCTGCCCTGGAGGCCATCTAGGATTGTCAGGGAGGCCACATAGGGCCGTCTTGGTCTTCTCGCAGGCCATCTTGGAGCCATCGCGGGAGGAAAAGTCGATGGAGTGCACCGTCCGTGGTGGCGGCTTAAATGGGAGGCAGTGAGAACCTTCTGGAAAGGCCAGTGGTATCCAAAACTCAGGCACGCCACCCCTCTCGCAGACTGCAGGGGCGGCTGCGGGCTGGCCGTCGGCCAGTTTCTGCCATTGTGCCTGGAGTGTGGGCAAGGGTCCTCTGAGATGCCTCGTGGAGTCTCTTGCGACGCCTCTTGGAGGACCATAGGGGCCTCTTGGACACCTATTGGAGACCTCCTGGGGCCTTTTTGGGCGCCACCAAGGGCCTCCTAAGGGGCCTCTTAGTGGTCTCGGGGACCATCCTGGCACTAGATGGCTCAGGGGCCCAGTTCGTGCTCACCCCTACGGTGCAAATCTGTTTGAAATGGTTGCTCACCTCCCAAGCAATCACGCGACGATCCCCGGAAGCGACACGTAATACCAACGTTTGGGCCCCATAGTGGGCATTAAGAGTTCGCAAAGCAGAGAACCCGAAGGGACCTGAGGACACTCCACTGGCTACCTACGACACGGGGGTATAATACATGTATATACATACATACCGACGTACGTACATACAGACAGACAGACAGACAGACAGACAGACAGACAGACAGACAGACAGACAGACAGACATACGTACATACATACATACATACATACATACATACATACATACTTACATACATACATACATAGATACATACATACATACATACGTGCATGCATGCATGCATGCATGCATACATATATACATACACATATACATTTACTGCTGTTTCACCCAGTGGTACGGCATAGGATATCATATAATGCTAAAGTATGCTAGCTGGTGCTGTCTTGTCACATGCAATGCTGTGCCACACCATGCTGCGCCCAGCGCATGGTTCACAAACGAAACAGCACTGAGCTCTGGTGAAGGAGGGACGCGCGGTCAGCGGGCCGTTTTCGCAAAGGGATTCGTGCACCGGGAGTGCTTTGACCCCACGTTCGGATAGACCTCTTCGATGCGGATTGTAGAGATATTCACTTGCAAGGCGGCACGTAGATTGGTGCAGAAGTAGTTTTTGGTTCGACAGTTTGCAACGTTCGCAGAAACCATGGCGCAGATGTCGAAAGAGATGTTGCACCGAGGGTCTTTTGCAAGCGGTAATTCCCCCATAGCTTCTCTCAAGCGCTACGGAACCGCAAGGCAGTGGAGCGCAGCGCTGGAATTATTTCGCGACCTGCTGCTGTCACGCACAGAAGCCTCTAACGTCCTTTATACCGCAATCGTCAACGCATGTGGGAAAGCCAGCCAGTGGCAAGAGGCGTCGTCGTTGCTCAGCGAGCTGTGGGAGTGCACGTTAGGACCAGATACGTTTAGCTACAGTGCTGGAATCAGCGCTTGTGGGAACGGTGGGCAGTGGCAGCGTGCACTACTCTTACTCAGCGAGGTCTTGCAGTCGGAATTGGAGCCTGACCTCATTATGCTCCAAGAGGGCAAGAGCTCAGTGACCGATCCCCCTCGAACACGCCCTTGATGATCAGAAGAGGTGTCTTCTGTGGGCGCTTGACGGGGTGCTCCGGTGGAGGAAAGTGTGCAGGCTCTGAGGGACCAGGCAGGGCCTGGGCGGGCTCCTGCCCCCCTCCGGCGGCGAGCGAGGGGGGGAAGTGAGAAGGAGAGGGCTTTCTCAGAAGGCGGCGGGATTCCTCAGAGGCCCTTGCGCCTTCTGAGAGGTTTTCTTTGTCTTCGGGGAAGGCTCGGGGAGCTCCTCAGAAGGCTTGGGGACTTCCGATGCCTTCTGAGAAGGCCCGCCCCCTTCTCCCTGCCCCCCCTTGCCGGGCCGCCTGCCCCCTCCCCCTTCCAGCAGGACTCGGACGCTTCGCAGGGGGGAGGGCGGGGGGGGGGAAGCGGGGGCACCCGAGCCTCCCGCAGGCCTCCTCTCCTGCAGGCAGGCGTGGGTCGGCGGATGCGGCCATGGCGGCGTGGGGCACAGCAGGCGGTGTCGAGGGCCTCTGCCCGGCAGGCATCTGGGCGAGGCCCTCCTGTGACAGGGAGAGAGGGCACTGCAGGCTCGTAATGACAACAGCAGCCGCACGCGACAGAAACCAATATCAGAGCTCAAGCTGAAAGCGAATGAATAGGTGATCTCGCCGCGCTGTATGTGAGAGAAGCAGCCAGTGGGTACAGTCCATAAAAAAACAGTTCGTCTGCACGCTTCTGCGGCAGCATGTGCGAGTCTAAGTCGAGACATCGCTCGTGGATGACGACCCACAGGCCAGCTTCAGTCTCCTACAACGCTGCAATAAGCGCGTGCGAGAAGGGCGGGCAATGGAAGCAGGCATTATCGTTGCTCGACCACTTGTGCCAAGTGAGACTACGTCCGAACATAGTCACTTACGGTGCAGGGATCAGCGCATGCGAAAAGTGTGGACAGTGGCCTCAGGCATTGTCGTTGCTCAGCCAGCTTCAGCAAGCACAAGTTGAGCCAAATGCAATCAGCTTCAATGCTGCGATCAGCGCGTGCCAGAAGTGCGGACACTGGCGCAAAGCGTTGTCGTTGCTCGACGAGTTGCAGCAAGCGAACTTGCAGCTTGATATCATCAGCTGCAGTTCTGCAATCAGCGCATGTGAGAAGGAGGGTGAGTGGCAGCAGGCACTTTTGTTGTTCAACGATTTGGTGGCGTCGAAATTGGAACCAAATGTGTTCAGTTACAGTGCTGGAATCAGCACGTGCGAAAAGGGAGGTCAGTGGCAGAAGGCATTGGCATTGTTCCGCGAACTGCTTGAGTCGAACTTGGACATCAATGTGATTTGTTATAGTGCTGGAATGAGCGCTTGCGAAAAGGGTCTGCAGTGGCAACGAGCTTTGTCGCTATTTGCCGATCTTAAGGAAGCGATGTTGAAGCCGAATTTGATAAGTTTCAATGCTGGCATCAGCGCTTGCGAGAAGTGTGGGGAGTGGCAGCAGGCGCTGGCGTTCCTCAGCGAATTGCGACAAGCGAAACTGGAGCCAAGCGTTATCAGCTACAGCGCTGGTATCAGCGCATGCGAGAAGGGTGAACAATGGCAACGGGCATTGGCATTGCTTGCAGAGCTGCGGCAAATACAGTTGGAGCCAGGCATCATCGCCTACAACGCCGCAACCAGCGCGTGCGAAAAAGGGAGGCACTGGCAACAGGTGCTAGCATTGCTCACCGACTTGAGGCATTGTAATCTGGCTCCAGATATCATAACCTACACTGCTGGAGTCAGCGCGTGTGTGAGGGCTGCGCAGACGGAGAGAGCAGTGTCGTTGCTTAGCGAGCAGACGGCGGCCATGATAGAGCGCAGAGCAGAAAACGGCGTGAGCACAAACGTCCGAAGGTGCGCGTGGATTTCCTGGGCCGGCGCTTGACCCCATGGCGCCGCCGCCCCCGGAGCGCCGGGCGCGCCAGAGGAGAGGGCCCAGGCCGACTCGACAAATCTGCGCGGACCTCCCTAGGAGTTGATGCTCGTGCCGCTCTCTGCTCTTCCGGCAGAGCCCAGCGCGGTCAGCTACCACGCCAGAATCAGCGCGTGCGACGCGGGCGGGCAGTGGCAGCAGGCGCTGTCCTTGCTCGGCGAGCTGCAGCAGGTGCACTTGGAGCCAGGGGTCAGCTGCCATGCTAATGCCGCCCTGGGCACGTGCGAGTGCTGTGGCCAGGAGGGGAGGAGGAGGAGGAGGAGGAGGAGGAGGAGGAGGAGGAGGAGGAGGAGGATAAGAACCACAGTTAAACCTAAGATGCGCGCAGGATGCTGCAACACACCCTCCCATCCCAAGTCCACTCCTCATTTAAGTCTCTACAAACAGTCCTTTCCACTGAGGGAGAGGAGTCCTGCTTGGTTTTCATTGCTTTCAGCCTCCCAGGACCCTCCTGGGGCCTAGGGCCGTCAAAAGACTACGCAGGACGGACACTTGTCTTGGGGAAGGCCCTCAGGACAGTGCTTCTGATGCCAAGACAGGGGCGCCTGCTCTCTGGAGCCCAGCCATGTATCCGCATGCACGGGATCTTTTTCGACACCCCTGCTTTGTGATCTGAAGGCATCTTGTTTGCGATATTCATTCCAAGCCCGTTGATACTCTGAGCCCTCAGCGCCGTGCGGAGTCACGGTATTAGTTAGGCCGATGTGCGTTCGTGTGTGACCATTCTCGCCTCGTCGGACCTCCACAGCCGCGGAGTGCCTGACTTTTATGGCGAGCATGGGAATTCACAGACTCACTGTACTAAGCTTCAGCTCCGCCATCAGTGTGTGCGAGAAGTGTGGGCAGTGGCAGCAGGCGCTGTCGCTGTTCAGAGAAGTGCGAGAAGTAAGGTTGGAGCGGGACGTCGTCATCTATTCTGCTGTAGTGAGCGCGTGCGGGAAGAGCAGCCAGTGGCAGCGGGCCCTGTCGTTGTTCGCCGAGTCGCGGCGAGTGAAGCTGACGCCGAATATCATCAGCTACAGTACTGCGATCAACGCATGTGGGAAAGGCGAGAGATGGCAGAGCGCATTATTATTGTTCAGTGAGCTGCAGCGGACGAGTCTCGAGCCGAACACCATCAGCTGCAACTCGGTGATCGGCGCATGCGAGGCGGGCGGTCAGTCGTTGCACGTGCTGTCGCTGCTAGAGCAGGCATCGAAGGCGAAGATACAGCCGAACACGATGTCCGAGAAAGAATAGATAGAGAGAGAGAGAGAGACAGAGAGCGAGAGGGAGAAAGAGATTCCTCTTCCTATATGTTTGCAAGCTGGTGGGGGGGGGGGAAACCGTCCCCCCCCCCAAAAAAACGGAACCCCTTCGGTGCCGCGGCCCCGGAGGCCCCTTGGACGCCCCATGCAGAAGGTCCCCCGGGCGTTCCGGAGCTCCTGGTGCCCCTGCTGGCCTAGGCAACGGGCCCAAATCCGGTCGGGAGGGCGGCCGAACGGCCCCCCGAGTGCCCCAGGAGGCCCCGTGCCCACCAGACGCCCGAAGATGATCCAAGGCAAACCCCCAAGAGGTCTTGACGCAAAAAGTTTCGTGTGTAATAGGTTCCAGAAGAGGTCTTGAAGAGGCTCTAGATTCCCAAATAGATTTTTGTGATTTGGTGAGGCTTCTGTTTTTCGGTCTTCTGGGCGTCCGAGACCGCCCAGAAGGCCTGAAAATCGCCCAAAATTGCCCGAAAGCGCTTCCACACGAGCTCCAAGACGGCCCAACAAAGCTCCAAGATGGCCCGAAGAGTGCCTCATGACGGCCCACGATGGCCCCACGACGCTTCCCGAAGCATTCCAAGTCGTGACCCCGTCGTTCATGGAGACCGTTGGAAGCAGGGTAGCCCGAGGAAGTCCCCACAGGCCCTCAGAAAGCGCCCAGGAGGCCTCCAGAAGGCCCCAAGAAGGCCTAAGAATTGTCTTGAGGAGACTCTCAAAGGAGGAGACTCTGCAAAAAGAGCTGAGAAGGATGGGGAAGTGTTCGCAGGGTAGGGCGAGAATGAGGAAGAGGAAGATGAGACATGAGGGAAGGGTAATGAAACACATTATCATAACGACGATGTCGGAAAACGCAACAAGGAATTGTCGCTAAGTTGTTTGTGTGGCCTTCCTGCATTTCCGCCTGAATGCCAAATTTCAAGGACCAAGGTGCATGGCATGAGACGCCAACTCAGTCTTGTATATCTGTATATACTTAAACCAATAAATAACAGAATACATATACATATAACGCCGCACTGGGCCTGGGGGCCCCGGGGCCGCAGCCTCGACCACAAATGGGGGGACGTCGGGCCCAGCCCGCTCCCCAGCGGCCCCAGGTCGGCCCCCGGAGCGCCCAGACGGCCGTCCAGGCGGCCCAAGGTCGCCCAGAGCCACCCTGAAGACAACCTCCAGCGGTCTCCGGCGGCTCAAGACGCGTCTCGAACCGCCCCAGACGCCTCCAAGACGCTCGAAGACCCCTCCAAGAGATCCCCCCAGACGGCCCCGGGAAGCAAAAATAGCCCCCTTCCCTTCGTAAAACGTGCATTTTAACCATATTCGATGTTTTGTCCTTCGTACCGTCCTTTGCGACCTCAGACTCTCCCTAGACCGCCCCAAGACGGCCCACTAAGCCCACAAGAGAGCCCCAAGACGGCCCCAGAGGGGCCCAGGACAGTCCAAGAGGCGCCCAGGACGGCCCAAACGCGTCCCCGAAGGGCCCCAAGAGGGGCCCAAGACGGGAAACCCAAGTGAACCTTCCAGCCCCCCCGCCCCAGGAGGCCCCCAAGAGGCCCCTAAGAGACCCCCAAGAGGCCCCAAGAGGCCCCCAAGACGCCCGCGGCAGGCCCCAAAGGGCCTCCACAGGCCCCCCAAGAGGCTTCCAAGAGGCCCCCCGAGGTTCCCAGGAAGCCCCCAGGAGACCCCCAAGAGGGCCCCAACGGGCTTCTGAGAGGCGTCCCCAGAAACCTTCATGTACGTCTACATGCGGCCTCCGGTCCAAAAACCTGAGACCGTTCCTGGGACGCCGCCGGGGCCGCCGGGCTCCAACAGCCGATTGAGAAAGCACGGAGAACCCCCCATAAGCCCTTCAGATGCCCCCACGAAGACCCAAGAGGTTCCCAAGAGGCCCTCAGGAGGCACGAAGCCCGCGCGATGGTTCTAGTATGTGTATATAATATATAATATATATATATATAGATATATATATATATATATATATATATATATATATAATATATTATATATATACATATATATCATAAACACAGATATATATATATAGACTTACAGAGACAAAGAGAGAGAGGGGGGGCGGAAAGGGGGACGGGAGGAAGTACGTGAGGCAGCATGGTGCAGGCTGAGGGAGGGGGTCTGTAGGAGAGCGAGCAGCATCAGCAGGAGGAAGACGACGACGAGAGCGACGATCGGGGACCACAATTCGGACAGGTTTCCGTCTGTCTGACTTGGCGCTCGAGCGGAGCACGGGGGCCTCACATAAGCTTTCAGCAGCTTCCAGGACGCCCAAACCAATTTAAGACGGCATTCGGCTGCCCGTGGCAAGTCCCGCCACCGTGCCAGCACAGCATTCAGCGTGCGGACGCTGCGAGCCCCGCCCGAAAGGCCGCAGCACGTGACACATCCCGTCTCTGTTCTTCGGAGGGGTTCTTGTGGGGGCCATCTTGGGCCTGTTTTCGGCTCCCGTGGGTCTTTCGCTACCCTCTCGGGTCGTCGTGGGGTCTTGGGGCTCTCTTGTGCCATCTTGGGCCCCTCTCTCGGCCGTCTGGGGAGTCTCGTGGGGCTGCCTTGGGAGTCTCTTGGGGCCTTCTTGGGCCATCCTGGGCCACTTTCTGGGGCCGTCTTGGGGCCACGTAGGCGTTGTCTTGGGCCGTATGCGGGGCTTCTGCAAACCTTTATTGCGCTTGTTTTCTCCAAGTAGGCTTGCTTGTAGAAGCCAGCTCAATAGATCTCAATAGCGTAGAGAATTGGTCCACTGTCCACCACCACCGCCCTCTATGTTGCACTTGCACGCGCCAAACTATGCGCATAGTTTTCTCTGTATCCGCATGGCTTCCTCTGCTATGCGCATGGCTTTCTCTGCTGTCCGCGTGGCGTCCTCTGTATCCGCATGGCCTCCTGTGGTATTCACACGGTTTCCACATCCGCATGACTTTCCCTGCTAATGCAATGGCTTCTTTTGGCTATTCCAACGGCGTATCAACAACCGTCCAATAATCGTCAAACTCAGAGGTATAGCAGAGCAGGGTAGAGACGAACAATAGGTGAGTAGAGTGCAGCAGGAGTAGAGTAGAGCAGAGCAATGTATGATACAGCACGGTAGAGGATATCAGTAGAGTAGAGCAGGATAGAGTAGAGTAGGGTAGGATATAGTAGCGAGGATGAGAGTAGAGTCGATTAGAGTAGCAGTAGAGTATAAAAGGGTAGAGTAGAGCAGGGCGGAGCAGAATAGAGTAGAGTAGAGCGGCTCAGGGTAGAGTAGAGCAGAGTAGAGTAGAGTCGGGTCGATTGTAAGCTAGAGGCGGGCATTACATAGTTGAGTATAGTAGAGCTGATCAGGGTGGAGCAGAGTGGAGTAGAGCAGAGTCGAGAAGAGTAGATGAGTAGAGTAGACCATGATATAATATATCAGAGTAGAGTAGAGGGGGGCATATCAGAGTAGGAGTAGAGTAGAGCAGGAGAGGAGTAGGGTAGAGTAGAGTAGAGTAGAGCAGAGCAGAGTAGAGTAGAGTAGAGTAGAGTGGGTTAGGGTGGGTTAGGGTAGGGTAGAGTGGAAGAGTGGAATAGAGTAGAGCAGGGTAGAGCAGATTAAAGAAGTGGGGAAGGGTAGATGGTATAGTAGAGATGAGTATAGAAATTTAGAGTAGAGTAGATCAGAGTTGAGTAGAGTAGAGAGGGAGCACTGTGAGAGTAGGATAGTGCAGAGTAGAGCAGGTTAGGGCAAGGTGGGCACGGTATGGTAGAGTATGATAGGGTAGAGTAGGGGAGGATAGAGTAAAATAGAGTGGGGTAGATAGTAGAGTAGAGCCGGTAGAATAGAGCAGACTAGAGTGGAGTCCAGTCCAGTCCAGTCCAGTCTATTTCTATGCTTTCCAGTCTACCTCATGTCAGTCATCCGGTCTATTTGGAGCCTGCGCTGGCTGATATTGACATGTCTTTCTCTCCTCCGAGGCCCCCTTTGTACCATCTTGAGCAGAGGGGCCCAGGAAACCGAAGATATTCAAACACGCTATGGTGCCCTGTGGCTGTTAAAAGAGGTTGGCCTTTCTGGCGGGCCTGTGGGCTTGATGGATTGGAAGCTTAGTGTGGCCTCTTAGGGTCTTCTTGAGAGCTGTTGGGTGCCTACTGGAGCAGTGTTGGGTCATCTTGGCGACCTGGGTGGCCTTGCTAGGTAGTGCTGTGAGCATTGGAGAGCACTGGGAACTCTGCGGGCTGCCCAGGTGGGCTCGGAAGTGGTTGGCGATGTATGCCCCCGGGGGGAGGACTCAGAAGACTCACATAAACCATACCAGACAGCCAGGGGGGACATCGTGGCAGGGGGGATCGTGGCAGGCAATGAGTGCTTCGGGAGGATTTCCGCAAGCTTCAAAGATTGTATCCAGATGCTTGCCGTAACTCCCGCAGTAACTGCTTGCGACGAGGGGGCACCTTTGGACAGCTACAGGCATTCTAACTCGCCCCAACGTGTGAGGGCACTGTGGCAGATTTAAGTCCGCTTACGCTATTCTACAAAAAGGGGTGCGATTGTCGAAAGGTAGCGTTTCTGTCTTAATTGAGCGTGTGAGGTGTATGCGACCACGGGTTCGTACCGCTCACTTACAATATCGGCATCAGCGCGTGCCGAAGACGTGGCCAGTGGCGCGAGGCATTGTCGTTGCTCGATACATTACGCCAACAGCGATTGGAGCCTGACAGCGCTAGCTACGGTGCTAGTGTCAGCGTTTGTGAGGTGCACGGGCTATGGCAGCAGTCGCTGTCTTTGTTCCACGAATTTCGAAGTGCAGCGCTGGAGACAGATGTCATGATTTGTTCCGCCCTCATGAGTGCGTGCAGGAAAGGTTGCCAGTGGCAACGGGCTCTGTCGTTGTTCAGCGAATCGGTGCAAGCGAAGCTGGACCCGAACGGCATCAGCTACGGCGTTGCAATTTCCGCTTGCGAGGATGGAGGACATTGGCAGCGGGCCTTAGCTTTGTTCGGCGAGCTGCGCCAAGCTGATTTCGACCTGGAGGTGGTTCCCTACCAGTTTGCAATTCACGCGTGCGAGACAGGCCGGGGCATCAAGCAAGCGTTGTTGTTCAGCGAGTTGATGCAGGCTCAGTCGTTCGACATTCTGCAGAAAAAAGTCCAGGCACTGCTAGCAGCGGCGTGCAGCGACCCCATCCGCCTTTCACGGGGCTCGAGGCCGCAATCCTCCTCTTACCCAGGCATCGGTCATGAGGTTTGAACCGATGCCCCCCAAGAGTGCTCACAAACCTTGTCCAATTGGCCCCATCAGTCAGCGAAGGCCGTGCCGCGTTCCCGGTCGCCTCTTCGAGCTAGGCCCGATGGTCCGCAGCACGTGTGGTAGCCCAATGTACGTGTTTGTGTGTTACCCCGTTCGCCTGCCTTCCCCCCCGCTGCCGCCTACCCCGGTTTCCCGCCGCCGCTGCCAGCCCCCCTGGCGCCGGCCCCGCCACGCCCCCGGATCTGCTCTGAACGGGCCCGGCTCCCTCGCCTCCCTCCCTCGGCCGTCGTTTCTTCGCTCCTTGCTCCCCCCCCCTCCTGTATGGTGTCTGAATTCGCCTAACGTGCCCCGTTTTGCTCAACTCGCCAGCGCAGTCCACCTGCCTAGCCGCCGACGGAAAAATTGTGTGTGTGTTACCCCAGTCGTCTTCGCCGATGGCACGCAGTCTGCGTCGGACCTCGTGTATCGAAGAGCTTCGGTGGACGAGCACTCGTCGGCGCTGACACACGTCCTGAGGATCATCCTCCTCGTCCTCGTCGTCATCCTCCTCATCCTCCAACTCCTCCTCCAACTCCTCCTCCTCCTCCTCCTCCTCCTTCTCCACCTCCACCTCCTCATCCTCCTCCTCCTCCTGAGGATCATCGGTAGATATGAACTCCATGCCCGAGGCACAGGAACTTCGCAACAGGGCACAGGGCGACGCTTGGTTGGCCCATTTCGGCTCGGCGGCGCGCATGTCGAGGTGGCGCGGCGGGGGGGAGCACTCGGAGAGGGCAGAGTGCGCCCTGCAGCCAGCGCTTGCAGGAAGTGTGGCACGATAGAGCACCAGACGCGGAGCACCACCCACAGAGCGCCGGGCCAGAACCGAGCACTCGCAGCCAGCGGGGCATCACAGGGCCACTTCCACAGAGCACCGCCCGTGGGGCGCGACCCGTCGACCCGTAGGGCGCCAGCGCGAGAGCGAGCACCTCTCGTGGAGCACCAGCCAGAGAGCACCGGCCACGGGGCACCAGGGCGGGGCCCAGAGCTCCCAGCGGACGCCGCATGATAGAGCATCAGAGTCACAGCACTGCCCGCAGAGCACCAAGGCGAGCACGAGCAACCGCACAGCACACAGGGGGCGAGGGGCACCAGCACTTGGGCACAACGAACTGCACTCGAAGGAGAAAAAGCGGCATAGACATGAACTGTTGGAGGTCCGCCAAAAGTTTGTGTTTCTGCAGCTTTATCTTCTTCTACGCACACCAGTTCGACAACGAAGTATTGCAGCAAATCGGACCGCACATGGCACCACCCCCACAGCACCACCCATAGAACAACGTGGTAGGAACGAGAAACCGCTGCAAATAGACCGCCATGGAGCACAAGCCGCGGAACACAAGCCGCAGAGCATCGCGAATAGAGCACCAGGCCGAGAGCGAGAAACCGCGGCTTCCGTAAAAACAGCACATTTTGCGTGGAAGCATGTCTTGGGGAAACTGCAGCGTTGTTGCGCGACAAGGTCTGCGCCGGGACCCCGCGTCCCGAGCGCAATGTTTCCCACGCCACCAGCGTTGTCGTTGCTTTCTTGTTGGGGGCCCCGCAGGAGGGCGACGTCTGCGCGCAATGGACGCAAGGCTAGCGCAAAGGAAGGCAATGCGATGCTGAGGAGCAGGGAAGAGATCTTGAAGAAGGAAGCGGGAGGCACCAGACTGAACTTAAAGAAGAAGAAAGCTTTAATAAGAAAGTTTAAAGAAGGAAGATCGCAATCAGGATGTGAGGAAAGTGTCCGTGCATGAGCGGGCCCGGGCGCGCGAGAAAAAGGAGCGGAAAAGAGGCGGAACAGGGGCCCCGTGATCGGGAAAGGGGCAGAAACTAAAAAAAAGTCCAGGGGCAAGCGCAGTGGACCCGCCCCACTACCACGATAAGGTAGAGGGGGAAGGAGGAGGAGGAGGAGGAGGAGGAGGAGGAGGAGGAGGAGGGGGAGGAGGGGGGGAAAGGAGGAGGGGAAGGAGGAGGAGGAGAAAAGGGAGGATCGGATAAGGACAAGGAGGAGAGGGAGGAGAGGATGATGAAGAGAAGGGGAAGGAGAGTGGAAGGAGGGAGAAGAAGGAGGCCAGAGGAGGAGGCAGAGGGGAGGAGGAGGAGGAGGGGCAGGGAAGAGGAGGAGGAGAGGAGGAGGAGGAGGAGGAGAATGAGGGAAAGGAGGAGGAGGAGGGGGAGGAGGAAGATTAGGAGGAGGAGGAGGAGGAGGAGGAGAAGGACCGAAGAGGAAGGCGAGAGGAGGAGGAGGAGGAAGGAAGAGGGAGGCGGAGGAGGAGGAGGACGGAAGGAGGAGGAAAGAGGAGGGAAGAGGAGGAATGAGGAGGGGCGGGCCGGAACAAGGACGAAGGAGGAGGAGAAAAAAGGGGGAGGGAGGCACCTTGCAGCGCTTGGAGCAGTTGGTCCATCCTCGGTTGCGTTTTCTGTCTCCGTCGCTGGTCGGCTCGCGCCGACGCGCGGAGTGCAGCGCAGGCTGCGCGGCAACGGCTGGCGCCAGTTTGCGGGGACGGCGCTGATTGCCAGCGATCATGGTGGGCACGTCGCGAGCACAGTCGGGCGAGGGCCTTTTTGAGATGCCGGATTGAAAGAAGGGCTCCCAGACGTTTCAATCTCTCCCCAAACGGTCCCAGGCCGTCGCCACCGGCAGCAACAGCATCAACATCCTCATACTCATTGCTCTCGTCGCCACAGAGACCTCAAGGAGCAGATGACTTAAGATCGCGTTGACGCGTTCAGGGTCTGGAGAGAAAAGGTCCTGAGGATGGGGCAGGGCTTCCAGGTTGAATGTGCGCTGTACAGGGCTTCCTCGCCATAGGGCCCCGTCTATGAAGTGCCGAGGAGGGCCTTTTGGGAACCGCCAGACGGACGAAGGCTTGGCCCCGCGCGTTTGCTCTCAGGCTTGCGGCGTGCGCGGAGGGGGGTCAGCGGGGAGCGGGAGCCCGCGCTCTTGCACAGGGTTCGTGCCTAAAGGGGCCACGCCTGCTGGCTTACCCGCCTCGGCTGCAGCGTCATCCACTTCGTGGTGTTATGTGTGATGTATTCCTTGTGTTATGCGTTGCCGGGGCTTGTTACATGCCCGGGACTACTTGGGGGGATTCCAGTTTGTGGTTGCGTTGCGCGTTGATTCATGTCGCGCGGCCAGGTCCATTTGGAAATCTGGATTTGAAGTCGGCACGGTGGCGTCCCGAAACGTTGCCCAGCTCTGCCCAAGCAATACCTAGCCTACCCCCTGCCAGAAGAAACGCGGCGATGGCCGAGTCTGTTGTCTATTATCCTCCTCCTCCCCCTCCTCCTCCTCCTCCTCCTGCTCCTGCTCCTCCTCCTCCTCCTCCACCTCCTCCTCTTCTTCCTCATCCCCCTCATAATCCTCCTTATTGTCCTCCTCCTCCTCCTCCTCCTCCTCCTCCTCCTCCTCCTCCTCCTCCTCCTCCCTCCTCCTCATCACCATCAGCATCAGCATCAGCATCATCATCATCCTTCTCTACCTCCTCCTCCTCCTCCTCCTCCTCGCTCATCATCATCATCAGCCTCATCTCATCATCATCATCATCATCATTCATCATCATCATCATCATCATCATCATCATCATTCATCATCATTCTCTCCCTCCTCTCCTCCTCCCTCCTCTTCCTCCTCCTACTCCTCTTCTCCTCCTCCTCCTCCTCCTCCTCCTCCCCATCCTCCTCCTCCTCCCTCCTCCTCCTCCTCCTCCTCCTTCCTCCTCCTGGCTTCCTCCTCCTCCTACCTCGTCTTCCTCCTCCTCCTCCTCATCATCATCATCAATCATCCTCATCCTCATTCTCTCCTCCTCCTCCTCCTCCTCCTCCTCCTCCTCCTCCTCCTCCTCTTCCTTCTCCGGCCTCCTCCTCCGCCTCCTCCTCCTCCCCCTCCTCCCCTCGCTCCTCCTCCTCCTCCTCCTCCTCCTCACGTCAAGATAAGAGCTTCCTCACTCACATCCTCACTCCTCCTCCTCACTCCTCACTCCTCCTCCTCCTCCTCCTCCTCTCCTCCTCCTCCTGCACTCCCCTCCTCCTCCTCCTCATCCGCCTCATCCTCCTCCTCCTCCTCCTCCTCCTCCTCCTCCTCCGTCCTCCCCCTCCTCCTCCTCCTCCTCCTACTCCCTCTTCCTATTTGTCCTCATCCTCCTCCTCCTCCTCCTCCTCCTCCTCTCCTTCTCCTCCTCCTCCTTCTCCTCCTATGTGTCCTCTCCTCCTCCTCCTCCTCCTCTTCTCCTCCTCCTCCTCGTTCTTCCTCCTCCTCCTCCTTCCCCTTCTCCTCCTCCTTATCTTCCTCTTCCTCCTCCTGC